CGATTGGCACAGGACAGAGCAGAGTTTAGGGCTGTTGTACATAGGGTCGCTATGAGTTGCAGGCGACTCGACGGCACATAACAACAACAACATTTCCTAGTCAAATGTTAGACCATAGAGAGCTGGGTCTATTTCTGGTTTTCAGTTTTGTTCCACTGATCTATGTGTCTGTCATTGTACCAGTACCATGCTGTTTTGATTACTACCACTGTGCTATGTCTTCCACTTCATTTTTGTTTCTCAGAAGTATTTTGCTTATTCTGGGTGTCTTGCTACTGTATTAGGATTGCATTGAATATGTAAATAGCTTTTGGTAGGATTGTCATTTTCACAGTAATGAGTTTTCCTATTTATGAACCAGGCACATTTTTCCAGTTCTTTAGGTCTTTTATTGTGTCTTGCAGAAATGTTCTGCAGTTTTCTTTGTATAGATCTTTTGTATATCTAGTTAAGTTCACCCTCAAGTATTTCAATTTGTGGTTGTCTATTATAAATGGTATTGTTTTCTTTATTTCCATCTCCGAGTTCTGTTTGTTACTGTGGAGGAATCCCTCTGAGTTTTGAATGTTGATCTCATATCCTGCCACTCTACTAAATTGGCCTACTAGCTCTAACAGGTTTTTTTGGTGAGTCTTTGGGGTTTTCTGTGTACACTATCTTATCATCTACATGTAGCAATATTTTAACCATATCTTTGCCAATCTGGATGCCTTTTATTTCCTTCTTGTGTCATATAGCTGTAGCAAGCACTTCCAGTACAATATTGAATAGAAGTGGTGACAGTGAACATCCTTGTCTGGTCCCTGTTCGCAAGGAAAATGTTTTCAGTTTTTCTCAATTCAGAATGATACTGACTCTTGGTTTTGTATATATACTTTTCACTATGTTGAGGAAATTCCTTTCTATTCCAATTTTGCTTAATGCCTTTTGTCAACTGCCTTTTCTGCATGAGCTTCTAAGATCATATGGTTCTTATTATTTATTTTCTTAATGTGGTGACTTACATTTATTATTTTTCTTATGTTGAACCATCCTTGCATACCACTTATGAATCCCACTTGAGGATGGTTATTTTTTTTAATGTGCTTTTGTATTCTATTAGCTAGGATTTTGTCAAGCATTTTTGTGTCATTATTCATGAGAGAATACTGGTCTATAGTGTTCTTTCTTGGTAGTATCTTTTCCTGGTTTTGGTATTATAGTTATGCTTGCTTCATAGAATGACTTTGGGAGTGTTTCTTTTTCTTTTTTTTTTTAAATAGTCCAGTAAAATTGGTGAAAGATCCTCTTTGAATGTTTGGTAGAATTTCGCTGTGAAGCAGTCTGGTCCAGGACTTTTCTCTTGGGGAAGTCTTTTTATGACCTTTTCTTCTTTTCTGATGGGTCTGTTCAAGTCTTTGGTGATAGTGGTGTGTTGAAATCTCCTACAACTATTGTGGTGTTGTCTATTTCTTTCTTTAATTCTGTTAATCGCTGTTTTATGTATTTTGCAGGTCTATCATTTGGTGCATAAACGTTGACCAAGATTATGTCTTCTTGATCCATTGTGCCTTTAATCAGTATGTAATGCCCTTCCTTATCTTTTATGGTGGTTTTCATTCTTAAATCTATTTTATCAGAAATTAAAATTGTCACTCCTGCCTTTCTGAGGTTGCCATTTACTTGGTATATTTTTCCAGTCTTTGATTTTGAGTTTGGCTTTTTCTTTTTTTTAGGTGTGTCTCTTGTAGGCAAAGTATTGATGGGCTTTGTTTTTTTATCCATTCTGCTACTATTTTTCTCTTAATTGGTGCATTTAGTCCATTCACATTAAGTGTGATTATTGTCAGTCCAGGTTTTATTTTTGCCATTTTGCTGTGTTTCTTTTTCTGTTGTTTCTGGTTACCATAGTCCATGAACTTTCCTTTGGCATCTCCATGTGAAGGATTTCACTCAAAATTTCTTGTCATTTTGGTCTTGTTTTCACAAATTCCTTAAGGTCCTTCTTTTCCTCAAAGGATCTAATTTCTCCATATGTGATGGAGAGCTTTGCTGGGAACAGTATCCTTGGCTGGCAGTTGTTTTCTTTGAACTTTCTGTATGTGCCATCCCTCTGTTTTCTAACTCACATGGTTTCTGCTGAGAAATCAGAACCTAATCTAATTGTTTCCCCTTTGTAGGTGACTCTTTGTTTTTCTCAGGGTGCTTTTAGAATTCCATCCTTATCTTTTAATTTGGAGAATTTTGCTATGCTATGTCTTAATGTTTTTCTTGTTGAGTCTGGTCTCTTTGGCATTTGCTGTGCTTCTTGAATGTGGATTTTCCCATTCTTCAAAATACATGGGAAGTTTTTTTCTAGTACTTCTTCTACAGTTTTCTCAGTGATTTCCCTGTCACTCCCCTCTTCTGGAATTCCAGTCATGTGTATGTTATTCTGTTTGATGTAATCCACATGATTCTAATGTTTTCTTCATTTTCTTTATGTCTCACCTCTGATTTTTCTTCTAGTATGTTTTCAGTGAGGCTCTTGTCTTCCAACTCACTGACTCTCTGTTCCATGTCTTCAGTTCTACTTTTTTGTGCTACCAGCATGTTGGACACTTCTACTATTTTGGTCTTAATATTCTGGATTGCATTTTCATGCTTTTCTGTTATTTCTAGTGCTGTGTTGACTGTACTCTCTTTGTTCTTGTATCTCTTTATCTATTCTACCTGTTCAAGTTTACTCCTCATCAGTATATTTCTTCCGGACTGATGTTTCTGGGGTATTTGCTTTCTTAATTGCTTCTTCCATCATTTGCATCTTATTCTGTAGCTAGTTAATTGACTGGAACATATCAATGGCTTCTGACAACGTGTGGCAGCTTCTGACGATATGCAGTGGCTTCTGACCGCCATATAGAGTTTTAAGAGCTGCAAATCCCTACAGAGGCAAACTGTCACCTCTTCCTTCCATGGAGCGACTTAGTGGGTTCACACCACCAGTTTTTTGTTTGGTAGTCAAGTACACTGACCACTGTAACACAAAAAGTTCATAAGCATATTATCTCAAGACTCAAAATCATAGCCTCCATTGGGCTTCTGAGGCTATGAGTCTCATAGGAGGGGATTGCCCATCTTTGTCTTTCAGAGCTGCCAATGGATGTGAACAGTCAGAGAAGCAGTGCCTTTGAGTGAGCAGTGCATCTCCCTACAGTCTGTGCCACCCAGACAAGATAGAGCAAGTAGTGATGAAGAACAATGTCTCACTGATTTTAACAGTAATAATTGAAAGCCAGGCCTGCCAACCATTCAAAAGTGAAGTAGTTTATTGAGTGTCACCAATGAAAAAAATGATTAAACAAAGTGAAGTTGAGCTAAGAGGTTCATTCCCTGGGGAACTTCAATGCTGACGATGTTATACTTGTTTGGAATACATGTCTTTTTCTTTCTTTTTTCTTTTCATTTTTTTTAAATTGTGATTTTACCAAAAGTTTAAAGAAAAGTTGGATTTTCACTAATTCATAATTGCACATTTTTCTCCATAAACCCCCTAGTTCACATTAAAAAAAAATTACTCATTGTCACAGTCAACTTTGCTATGCAGCTGTTATTCTGCACTGTTGTCATACAACTAAAGCCTAATCATATATTCCTTTTCAACACTTCTTTCCTTCATCTGTTCCAGTGCAATTTTCATTATTTATCTCCTCTTTTAACAACTAGTGAGGTAAATGCTTTGAAGACAGACACTGGATGCGTCCTTCAGCTCAAGCAGTGCTTTGTATTTAGATTTAAAAAGTTAAAACTTAAAGAGAAGCAATGGACAAATTAAGGCATAAAGTTGAACAATGAACTCTTTGTTTAGAAATATAAGAATGTTATTAAGTACATCTGATATGAAAATGATAACTCTTAGGCATTATTTTAAGTATCAAATAGCATTTTTAAAGTATTTTAAATGCTATAATTTTTATTAATGCCTTTTATGATTCTCTTTTAGCTATGAAGATGGTCAAGTGGGAGATGCAAATATTAACACACAAGAAGGAGGCATTCACAAAGAGATCCTTCGAGTAATTGGTAATCAAACTGCTACTGGTTAAAGGACCACCAATAATTAACATGATTTGAAAGCCTTCCTCGGGTTCAAAGCTGGATTTTGAACTGAAGAAGATGATAAAATAATTTATTGTTATTATAAACAAATTAACCCTTTGAATACTGATTTTTTTCTTAGTATTTCTAAGTATCTCATTAAAATACCTAAAATGGTATAAAGTTTATCAATTATAGGGTTATGGAATCTAGTAATAAAATTAAGACAGCACTTAAACTTAAGTTTGGGTTACTCACAATAAACAGATTTGAAAAACAGTTTTGTGCTGATATTTTTATATTGAACTCTTTAATTGGACATTTGGTATCATATACTGACATTTTAGGTTATTGAAATGAAATTGGGAACATTTTATAATGACATGAATCTATACGATACTTTGCAATAAGTATAGTATTTGCACATTCTGATGTGCTATATTATTAGTGGCATGAACATTTGAATGTCTTGAGAAGGATGTTCTCTATTATACTGTTATTTTACTTACACAAAGAAACCTAAATGTTAGAAATCATGCTTTGCCCTATAGTATGTAATATAAATACCTAGAGGTTTATGCATCAGAATATGTGTTTTTAAATATATGTGTATGCATACATACACGTATATGTTTTAACAAAAGAGATGGTGCAGATGGTCCACAATTCTACCCTCATTTGTTGAAAAGAAGATAATTTTCATTAAGAAGTATATCTGGACCTAAACCAATATTTGAGCCATATTCACCACTTTCCACTCACTGAAAATATTTGCAGCTTTGCTATTTATTTTAAGAAATACTCTTATCAGTTAGAATTTAACACTTTTAAAAGGTTACCTACACATTCTAATTTGGGGAACATGAATAACCTTGTTGTACTAAATCTGTATTCAAATGACCATAATTTTAAAGAAAGGCTATAGAGCATAAATCAACAGTATATATTTTTTAGTTTCATACAATGGAACATTTTTTTAATTTGTTTATACCACACAAGCATTTTTATAGTTTTTCATCTAATAATTCTGCTTAGTTTTTTTCCATATTGAGAAAGAAGACAAACTGAAGCTTCTTTTATATTAAAAGAACTCATATAAGTTTATAGAGAACAATAACACCAGCTCTCAACATTCAGCCTTCAAGAGTCATGTAATCATCAGAATCACTTCTGTTTATTTGGGTCCTAGAGTTCTTGGTCACATCACGTCTGGATTGGTAGACTTCATTTTACTTCGTGGTGTGTTTAGTTTAGACCATTCATAAAAGCAGTTTAGCATTGGTGATTCTACCACTTTATTGAATCCCTGAATCAAGGCTCACATCTGATTGTAATTTTTTTAGAAAGAAAAATAATAATAATAAAAGTGTTTAGTAATTCGCAAGTGTAATGTGATAACTTCTGTGTTTATTTCCTTTGGCTGGCATTAAAGATGAGAGAAAGGATCATACGTGGGGGTTTTTTTAAGGGCTACAATTTAGAAAGTGTTTACCAGTGATATATTTTTCTCAAATTGTAAACAATTGATATGGCATTTACTTCTAAAAGAAATAGGTTTGAAATGGTTGGTAAATAGATCATTTTGACAGTATCCACTAGAAACATTGATCTATTCTGGCTTGTGTCTCTGTACCCAAGACAAACTGAAGGATAATATTAGCCTCTTAAGGACAAGAGGTAATATCCTATTTTGTGGTTGATGACCAGATATTTGGAGGTGGTATATGAGACAAGAAAACTTTTTGCTTTCTTCTGCAAAGATATTCTAAGTCCCCAAATTAATTTAAACTGTGCTTTAAAAACATTTAAGCAACCTGAATTATTTTTCCTAATTTGATTTTTGTAGATTCTCATATATGCTGTGAATATGAATGTGTAATGTCATAGTTTGAAGTGAGGAGTCATGGAGACCAATCTTATTTGACTACCATTACCCTTCAGGCACACTATTATTTCTCTAAAGTGCTCTAAGTATAATTTTAAAACCATTGGCCTAACTCATTAAAGCTTTGCTGAAGTTGGTAATTTGTAAGGAGTATTAAACTAGTATTAGTCTAGATTGTAAGGAAATGTAGCAATTTAAGGTTGCAAACCTGACAAAATATAAACTTATTACTAATTCATGAACAAAAGCGTATTCACATATCAGAGGAAGGAAAGTAGCCAAGTGTTTAATGTCTATTAAATATTACAAAAAATCTGTTATGATTCTAAAATAATGTATCTTCCATTAATAACTAATTGAGTGATGTTAATAATGCAGAATATAGATTTTAAGTTTTTTCCCCCAAAATAAAATGTTAAGAGGGAAGCCAGCCTTTAAATTGAGATTGTTGAAATTGGGTTTTTCGTTGTTTTTGTTCAAATATTCTTCCAGGTCGTACAGTCCTGGTGTATCTACTTGCCATACAGCGGCAACTTGTGGTTGCTGTGAAGCTGAACACCGTGACACTGATGTGTCAAATGCGAGAATGGTTACCCATGGCTGACTGCTTGATGGCGCTGCCCGATTAAAACTGGCTTGGAAGCAGTAGTGGCATCCACTTCCATAATAGCTTGCCTCCAGAAACCCTATGAACCTGGAGAAAGGATAAAAGTCACACAAGTGTTGAGGCCTTTCATTCATAGGGTCGCTACGAGTCGCCTATGGCTCGATGGCACTTAACAACAACAACATAGTATACTAATATAGATGCACAGATTTATTTCTAAAGAATCCAAGCTCCAGTGATTAGTAAATTAATATTGTGCTTCCAGGATTCAACAGGTACTTAAACTGTGGAGGTTTAAACACAATTACGCCTTGATTCAGTCATCCTAATAAAATATCTCTTGGATTATTTATTGACTCCAAACACTTGATACTGTTTTGTGTTCTTACAATCACTTGAAATCTTTTCACTTAAATTTTTAATAGTTAACATTTTGTAGCCATTAATGCTAAATAATAACCTGAGCAAAGGCAAACATTTATTTTCAGTCTTTAAGTGGAGGAAGAAGAACCCTAGTTTATTTTATTTTTTGCTATATTATTTTATAAACATTTTGCTAACATTTATTTGCCTTCTTGCATTGTCCATTGTTTAAAAAAGAGACGAGAGTGTTTGGGCATTCAAGAAACAGAACAAATTCATAATGCTCTGGTGGCTTAATGATAAGAAACTGCACTGAGATCCCAAAGAAATGCAATTTGAACCCACCAGCTGTTCTGTGGGAGAAGAATGGGCAGTCTCCTTCCATGCAATTAACTGCCTCTGAAAACCAGTGGAGGGTCAGCTGTGGGTCGGTTCTGACTCCATGGTACACAACACCACCACCAACCTAATGTTAGACAGTGAGAACGCATTTTTGGTGCCTTTGAGTGCATTAGTTGGAATGATGATCATTTTGTTGCTCATCAAATCATAAGCTAGATGTTGATTCTTAAATGACTAGTACTTAAATTTACTTTCAAAGTCTGTATACTGCAAAGCTTGAGTCCAGACTATTGTCAATGCCATGGATTTTGGTCATTAAAAAATTAAATAGCTTAGAGAAAAGATTCTTCCATTTTCTCCCTTTTACTAAAAGAAAACCTTGCATATGGCATATGGCAGTTTTTCAAATTCATATAACCAAAAGCATTTTAGCATTATTTTGCACAACAGTACTTTACTCAATATCATAAATTGCCTCGGGGCATGGAGTTTCACAAAGTGCTAAGGGGAAGCTCATCATCCTGGCTAATTTCAGGTGGCCTCATCAGATAGTAATTTAGTGTGCCAGGAACGATCACTGAACCGGACCATCTACCCTCTTACTAAGCATAGATTTCATGGTGGCGTGTGAAATACGTTTTAAGAGCACTATGATGTTACTGTATTGTTCGGCTAAATTTTTCATTATAACACTACCTCAAACAAATGATAGACTGTTAAGTAAATTGGCTTTCCATTTAAGGAACAAAAAAACATTTTACAAATAGATCTTACCAAATAATTCAACAGTCAAGAACATGCTGGACATAAGTCATGTTGGGTATCTCTTGACATGCATATAAAGTCACCAGTGAAAAGTGGCACACAACCCTGCCTCACTGTGCTGGGGAAATTGACTGATTCCACGACCCTCTTAAATACCAAAATCCATAGACAGCAAATTCTTTATACAAGACAAAGTATTTGCATAAAACCTATCCTCATCCTCCTCTATATTTTAAATCATCTCTGAATATAATATCGAATACAATGTAAATGTTAAGTAACCAGGACTTTGCACTCCCTTTTAGCCTCATAGAGGTTGTTTTGATAATTAATTGCTTCTATTTTCACTTACAGAAATGTTGACCTTTGCACAGTTGAGTCCTTGAATACGGAAGACCAACCTAGTAGTTAATACTCTCACACTGGCTTAGTTGGTTGCAGGAGTTGTAGATTGTAGATTTGAGTTGGTTGGCTACCTGCATGAGTTTTATGTCCATTTACCCACAACCACAAATAGTTGCACACCCTGAACAGTTAGAAGATTAAAGCACCTGACTGCTGTGCCAGAATGGCAGACTAGAAGATTCAAGTATTTTGGTATTTGATGTCTGCTAAATTTGTGTCAGATTATACATAGGTTTGATGTATTACCTGATAAATTTTTGTTGGGGAATATTTTTTTTTCTACTCTGATATATTAGGATACGTTTTTGTAGGTCAAGAGAATTTCAAGTAGTTTTTAGACAAAACATTCAGTGTGAAAAAGCTGTGTTGATGAATAGATTGCATTACTTTTTTACCAGGAAGTCAGTGAAAAAAAAAACAACCCAAACACATTAGTGCTTATTTAATTTACATAGTCAACATAATTTAGTATTCTAAAAATAGTTTATTTAATCTACCCAATATTTAATGTAACATTGGAGTTTTTTAAAAAAATTTGTAGCCAGTCCTTTATGTAAGCATTAAGATATGCCTGTGGGAGTTTTATGACCCACTATACAGCCTTCTTTACAATAAATTTCTTGACTTTTGTGCACAAAATAGAATTGCAACCTGCTATTTACCCCTTGGTGCCTTAGAGTTATTATAAATACTTCACAATATGTACAAAATGTAAATACTACAAAGAGATCACTAAGGCCAAATATTTTCTCTACCCACTTTTTAATTGCACTTGCTTTCTATTGCTAAGCCTCTTTTATCTAGCTTTGTAATAGTTCTAACATTGTAGCTAATGTAAATGTTTACTTTCAATAAATCTGAATTTGTTCAACAAGTACGGTATATGTGGGCACTACTTTGAAA